AAATCAGCACATTCATTACAATGCTGAGTGTTTGATTCCAACTTTAAGTTCACTTTATATTTGTGAAGTTCACCATAGAATGCATAAGCCATTGCTATCAAGTAGTCGTTTACAACTGGGATTTTAGTCATTCCATAATATGCGTCGTAATCATAGCATTTAAACCCACGTTTTAATCTATTTTGAAAAAAAGCAACTTTCACTAAAATGTTCACTTTTACCTCATTTATAAATTCTTGAGTAATTTGCTTTTGAATTGTGTGATGATCTCAACACAACTTTCATTCTCCTCTTCGTCTAATCCATGATTCCATTTGGGATAGCTACATGTATTTTAAGAATGTTGGGTATGTAGACTTTAATTTTGGGCATTCGGGATTTTGGGCGTTCGGGATGTCGGGATTTTGAGCATTCGGAATGTTGACATTAGGCGTCGGGATTTTGGGCGGCACCCATACGGCAAGTTACAGGATCACCCTCCCCTATAAACAAGACTCCCCCTCCTCCCATACACAATACCCCCGGGGGGTATATTTTGATAAATGCATCAATGAATCAATGATCTGCAGATCAATATGAATAGTGGTGTAAGTGATGTACATGACATGTGATACGTATTAATTTTTGAATGCAACACGATCATAATTTTTTAAATCATGCAATATCGATGTCAGATATACACGTGGATTGTATGGAAAAACCTCACATGTATCAAATTGTTTTTACATGTACTGTACATGTACATGTATATAACAATTGACATCTGTGTGCAGTGATGTGTATAGATTACATAAAACTATAATTACATGTACACGCTTATTGTCCAAAATTTTAAAAATGAGCTGTACAATAAAAAGTTTTGCATTTATTTCTCACTTTAAATATACAGTAAATAAAATTAATTAAAACTTTTCTATTAGAATGAAAGATATTCATGTTAACTTTGAAGATTATAGCAGCGAGATTTAATATACATTTTGAATTTGAGCCACGAAAATTTTATAATTGACATATAAAGTGCAATAGCATTTTTTTGGCAAAATCTCTTCAATTTATTTGGCTAACGCGAACTTCAGGTTCGAAAATATTTTGTGAAGTTGCCTCTAAACATTTAGCATTTCTATTTCATTTTATAAATAATTTAATTTTTTCAAAAATCTGATAAAAAAGTCCTAATAAGAATTTAATTGTACAAGATATTATCCATGCAGAGAAATCTTGATTTATCTCTAATTTTTGTAACGGTTATATGCGTTCATCTAAAGTCAACTATAAAATATTGATTTAGCTTAATTAAAAATTTGTAGAAGTTAAAAATATCAATTCATATGCATGTTTTAGTCTATTCCCGTTAATGTCAACCTCGTTGGCAATAACATCCAGTTATTAATAAAGTGCTCAGTATATATTAAAATATAGAACTCATACTGAAGCTACTTTTAAGTAAATTATATATTATAATATAAACTAAGATGCTCTTGTTACATATTAATATAAAGTTAATTAAAAATATATATTTTTAAATTTAAAATAATATTTATAAAATATTTAAAGATTATATTAATTAACAAATATTAAATCTACAAAAATTATGAATAGTTTAAACATATGGTTAAGAAATAAATAATATTTATAATCAAAACTCAATTATTAAATTTGTTATAATTTAATAAAAGTTCATTTAAATAATATAAATATTCTTTAAGAATAATATATAATATGACTTCTAAAATTTTTTTTAAAAATTTATAAAAGAAATTTTAAAAAGTTTGAATATAATTTAAATTTATAATAAAATCAATAAAATTTTTATTAATTAGCTATTATTTAAACTTAAATATTTATAAATATAAATATAAAATTTTTTATTATTTAAAATTAAAAAGTTAAGCTTTTTTATTAACTATATATATTAATTAATTAAAAAAAATTAATAAAAATTACAAATATTTTTAATATTAAAAATATTTAAATTATTATATAAGCCAATCTCTCTATAATAATATCAAATATTCAGGTTAATATTGCTCAATAAAGAGAATGTCATTCTATAAAGGTCAATTTTCCTATAGTAATATATGAATCATTCTAGAAAATTTGGTCGTTATAGAGAGAATTCCATTATAAAAAGTGTCGTTATAGATGGGTTGACTTGTACTTTATAAAATTAAGAAGAAATAATTTTCTTTATAATTTAATGAATTAAACTGAATACAGTAATTTGAATATTTTTTGATATTTAAAAAACTATAATTTCAAAGTTATATATTTAAAAATTTGATAATATTTATATTTTATTTGTACTTTTTTAATATAAAACAGAATTATAAGATGGTGAGTCAAATTTATTAATGAGATATAATAAAAATTTTAAGTTTTTCTCTATATTAAAATTTATAATTTTATTAAATATTTAGTAAACCAAAATTTATATTTTATAGTTATAGATTTTTAAATTTGAAAGAGCTATTATATTTACAAAAAAATTTTCTAATTAAATTTTATAAATGCATCTTATGTCTCAATCCCAATCTCAAATAATACTTATAGATTGCTTTTATAAATGCACACTCTACTGTATCTGGTTCTAAGGATGTAATAGTAATCTTTAAATTTTAAATGTAAAATAATATATAAAAATTATTATTTATAGGCAAACTTTTCTGACTATAGAAAGATACGATTATATCTATAATTAGAATTCCAACCAGTTGCAGCAAATATTTTATTTACCCATACGTGCATTCAATTTTTAATACATCTATTGCATTTCGTCGGTGAACACCAATTTTAGGACCAGATTTTCCGACAGCGCAAATGCCATTGAGTACATGTATTTCTTTCGAGAATTTGCAAGAAGAATGAACAGTGTTATGCATTGTCACATTGTCAAAGAAGTTGCTTGAGTTACACATATTCAGACGCAAACTAATTAGACAAAATTCTTATGAAGGAAACTTGAACCGGAGTTGTAATGCGTGCGCGCAAGAATATGCGTTATTGAAACAAAAAAGGAGTCCTGCCCGAACCTAAAAATTTCTTTCAAAGTTAACTCTTATGAGAGATGACAGATAAGTATTGTCGTCGTTGGCATTCATCATGTTTTCTTTTAGAGTAAATGAAACTTTGTTTTTTTGATAAAAAGTTTCTAGATTATGTATATGTATTATCTCTTTGCAGATGTAATTTTGTTAGAAAATAGTGCGCCTCATCATCGACTCTCTTAATATAAATAATTTAGATATTTCAATATACTTATATATTAAAGTAGTATAATTACTGAAAATGCCTCAAATAATAACACACCTCGTTTCTTGTATATGCATTGAAAAGCCACATTTCTTATAAAAGTAAAAAAACATGTATAGCTATGTGAAAAAATATATATGCACATATAAAGAAACTTGAATTAAAAATTGTATGAGGACAGATTGTTATTGGCTGAAAACACCAAATTTTTTACCAGTTAAATGCGTACAGTACATATCCATTCAGCTACTCCGAAAATTTCCCATTTTAGTACACGTATCTGCGTATTCTCCGTATCCGTAAATGAGTAATGATGTATAAATGAATTAAAAATTTTTAATTACTTGCATTATCATTTCGGTATCTTGTTTAATTCGAGATTATCTAATATCTCCTCGGTGATGATGATATCATATTAACAATGAGACTCACGCCAATGAATCGGTGATAAATAGAATTGATATCAATTTTGAATAAGTTTCGTTAACAATACGATGCACTATTGTTATGTATAATTATTAGCTGGGAGATTCTTATTATTAATTGATTGTTCTCATTTAAACATATGATTACTCGTTTTTGACACTGCTAAGAAAGAGCTATCTTCAGCCCTCGTTGTTAACAACATCGTGAACTGAGCTATATTTGACGTTTAATATATTATCATTTGAAAACCACAACGTTGCTAACAATGGGTATTAGAAGCAAACTACATTAAAATTTAATCCAATGAGATAAAGCATTTTGCTATAAACTGGCTTTATATGTGTAATCGTTATAATCAAGTTAAATAGAAATTTACAATAACAAACATATAAAAGAAAACTCCGGTGATGATATCTTCTAGCTTCATTGATAAATACTCTTTCCAGGATATGTACTCCTCTTCCCGATCACTGTTATTAAAAATTCTCTTTCAGATTAATAAAAGGCATATCATTCTCACGCTACTGCCTCCTATTTATCCTTATTCAGGTATTCGAGTCCTAGGTATACATTTATACGTTAAATAAACTCTATTGTTCTCTCGTTGAAATATAAACTTTATACGATTAATGATTCAATTATATAAATATATAAAAATAAAATATTTTATATTACTTTATTGCTTATGAAGAGGTGCTCGGTTGGTAGTTATCTGATTTATATAAATGGACTCCTTGTTCAATATAAACTATCAATTAAATTAAATTTGCAGCTAATCATATCGAAACTCTATTATTTGGTTGAATACTTTTTGCTTTAAATATTAAATATTTTTATGAAAAAAAAATAATTTAGTTTTATTAGTTTTAATTCATATTGTAATATGAATCATGAATATACTTATTAAAATAGCCTTGGCAAAACTTAAAAATTAATGAATGATAATAAATGAATAATCGTAGAAATTATTGCCCTTATTGGCTTCGTTTCTGGTTATGGATTTTTTGTTACATTTATAACCCTTTACACGTATACTGTAGAGTACAATCGAAAAACATATAAAGAATATACCGTAATTCTTGGAAAGTTCTCTTGCATTTTAGACCCAAAGCCATAAAAAAAGAAAAATATTAAAGTGTGATGGGTACTTTATCAAGGATATTATTTGCCGAGAATTACGGTAGTTATATATTGTATAATAAAAAAATGAATGCTTAAATAATCAGAATTAAATAAATAGCAAGAAAATATCAAAGTTTTACAACTATTAAGTATTAAAAAGTTAACGGTTAAATCCATGAAAATTCTCATAATATTCAATATAATTAGCTAAATATATCAGTGGTTCCGGTTATAAACTCTTGCGTTAAATTTGCATGTCCAGCTGGAGGCAGTTGCTGAGGTTGTTGATTGAAAATATTAGTTGTCCCAGTAAGAAAATCTATATGTACAGCTGAAAGTTGTCGAGGTAATTGTTGTTGATGTGGCGGAGGTTGCATTATGTTCACATGTCTAGCTGGAGACAATTGCTGAAGCGGTTGCTGAGTTGGTTGCGGAGGTGGTTGTTGATTGAAGATATTAATTGTCCCAGTAAGAAAATCTATATGTACAGCTGAAAGTTGTCGAGGTAATTGCTGTTGATGTGGTGGAGGTTGCATTATGTTTACGTGTCTAGCTGGAGTAAATTGCTGAGGCATTTGCTGAGGTGGTTGCTGGTTGAAGATATCAATTGTTCCACTAATAAAATTTATATGTCCAGTTGATGGTGAAGATTGCATTATTAGTTTGGAGTGATTTAAAAAATTTTATCAATAACAAAGTAGAAAGTGAATTTTTGAGGGGAGATTGGATTTTATATATATATATTGGTGAATTTTCACTGCTAATTGATTATTAACGAAAAAAATCGTACATGTAATATAGATAGAATTTATATAAGAACTGGAAATAAACAACAGCAGCGGTATTATATGGTGCTGAGTATTTCATAACACAAAAATAATATAAGTTTTTTATATTAAGAAGCCTTTCTTCGAAAACTATTACTATTATTGAATTCCTATAGTAGTTCTTGCAACACGAATAGTCACAGAACCGTCTACGCCTCCCGAAATTGTTGTCTTCATACTAACGTTAATATTGTAAATGGCCAAAGCAAATTTATCCGTACATACAGTCAGCACATATAAAGTAGCGGTCAAACTGTATAGATATGTATACAATATATTCAGGTAAATTGCATTTCAAGCGTTATCGTTGGTCTGTGAAGAACCAATAGTTTAATAGCAACAATATTATAAATTAGAAGAAGAATTAAATGATAGGTTATAAAGAAAAAAGGAGAATTGCATATTATAAGGCTGTAAAGAATGCATATAAGCAATATTAAAAGAAAGATCGTACATAAATAAATTTTTTCGGTACAATTAGTTAATCATATGCAGTCCAAATATGATCGTAATGAATTTTTTTATTAAAGGCTTCATCGTGTATGTCCTGTCTTGAATACAAAGACTTATTTTACATAAGTGTATAATATCTGATCGCATTTTAATACCAAGACGATTATTTGGTTAGTAATTGCGCATTGAGTGAGATTTTTAAAAACTGAACCACTATAAATTGGTCAAGTGATATTATCCAGAATTTATTGAGTCAGCCTATTATATCTTAAATATTATCATAAGAAGACAGTATAATTTGAGATTTTTGCCATATTTGTACATATAAATTTATAAATTAAATTTACGTGCTATGAGTCAATTAAAATCTGATAGCCATGCAAATTTTTTAAGCGATCACATGAATAAATAATATTAAAAAGCTGATTGGCCAGAAAAATCATGTGGAAACATAAATTCATCATCAATACATGTGCTGAAAATAGAACCATTCAAATTTAACAGTTAGACGTCAAGATAGAACATCCCAAGTTACTATATTTTTGGTTTTTTATTTAATAAAAAATTTCGCGTAGGTCATCACGTTATAAATATTATTCTTTGTGTATCAACTGATCTGGCCACGTTATGGATTTTGACGCAGCGGATATTAAATTCCGGCCAGAATTATATGTTTCAAATTCTTTCTCCGCTAGGAAAATATCCGAAATTTGCTGCTTAATCTAGTTATCCAATCGAAATGATCTCAACATCAGATTGTAATACTGACCAATAAGATAATTAATCATTGAACTTGATTTTTTTCAATAAAATAATATAGATTTGAAATAAGATTTATTTATAATAAGGGTTTTTCATAACTTGTAAAGAATATAAGCTTTTAAATTTTAAATAATAAAAATAAGTAATAAGTAAAAATAAGTTTATAAAGGTTATTTTTATTTTATTTGACTAAGTATAAAACTTCTAGTTAAGAATATATATTTTTCTTGGCTATTCTACTCATATAATTTGTGCGGTCTTAAATATTTTAATTTAAGTATTAGTTACTTTATAACTATAAATACAAAAGAAAATATAATAATATTATATCAAATATAGAGAGATTATATATAAAAGAAAATATTAATTTAAATAGAATAGAGAATTATATAAGAAATAATATATATTGCCAGATTTGTATTTAAATTTAAAGTTACTGGCTTGTAGAGTTTCTAACTAGTGAACCTATCTCTTGGAAAGATTGTCTAAAAAATAAATAATAACATTAATATTTTTAATAAATCATTCAAAATTAAAAAATGATTAAAATATTAAATAAAGATAATATTAATATAAATATTATTAATTAAGAACAATATTAATAAAATAAAAATTATATAAAAATTTTCTGAAATTAAGAAATTTAATATTATTATTTATGATAATATAAATTAATAAAAATAAATTTTTAATTTTTGTATTATATAATACTTTTAGAATTATTTATTTAATTATTATTTTGAAATATGTATAGCTCTACAAAAAGTAATAATAATTAATTTTTTAAATTTTTTATTAAAAATAAAAATTAAAATTAAAAATATTTATATTTTAATTCTAAATATAATTATAATATTATAATATTCTTTTATAATAATATATACTTGAATATAATTTTATAAATTATGAATATTATTATATAATGCTATATTAACAGATTCTTTTATTCTTTATTAATATAATAAATATTTCTTATAATATATTTTACTTTTATATTAATATTCTTTTAGCTCTTTTATTTAAGAACTAAATAAATATTTTTTATATAATCAAGAATTAAAATATATAAAATAGCTGAAAAATTTTAATTATATTATTTTATTTTTTTAAATAGATTATATATTTGATTATTAATTATTATAAATTCTCAAAATAGTTCTCTTATATATATATATATATTATTTTAACTATTTTTTTCAACTCTCAAAATGCTTATAATACTTTTCTTTTACTATATTATTAATAATTATTTGTATAAGATTTTTAATACTTTCAAAATATAATTTAGTAAGTTATTTTTTTAATTTTAAAAAATATTAGAAGTCATATAATATTAAATTAAGATTATAAAATAAATAAGATATCAAGTTAACTCATTTTTTTCTAAGTAAATCTTGAACTTTCTGAGCAGTATGAAAAGATATATTATCATAATAAAATAATATATCTTGAATTATTAATCTTTCTCTTCTTTTTTTAAAATTTTTAATAAAATAAAAATTTATATTTATTATTTTATTTTCAAAAATAATAATTTAAATAATAACTTTATTCATTATAAAAAATATAAAATATTTTTTTCTTGTAATTTTTGATAGTTTAAAAGAATATTAATCAGATTTTATTCTTTTTAATTTAAAATTTATTATTTTCTTTATTAGAAATAGTATAAAAGTATATTTAAGTTTCATTAATAGTAATTATATTTTTAAATTTTTTAGCCAAAATTTTCTTTATATAAATCACTTTTCTTTATTTATTTCTTTAATAAATATATTATCTATTATTATAGTGAATTGATAAGTAGAATTTCACTTTAATTCATCTTAATGATATAGAATTGGGAGAGACTAAAATAATTAAAGAATAAGAAAGGGAAATTAGACTATAACTTTTAATAATAATAAAAATTTCTAAGTCCTGTACTAATATCTATAGATATTGTCTCAAAAAGAGATAATAAAATAAAGAAATAAATAAATAAATCAAAAAAATTATAAAGATTAACTAAGTGAAGTCACTAGTAATCAATATAATTCAAGATTTTAAATTGATTAAATAGTAAGCTATTAATTAAAGAAGGCTATAACTAAGATAAAGGTAAAAACTAAAATATGAAAACTAAATAAATAAAAGATATGGCTTATTTATAATAAAGATCTTCTACTCTCAAAAATAATAAACAAAAAGTATAGCTTATTTATAGTAGAGATCTTTTACTCTCAAAATAATATTAAATAAATCAAAAATTAATATAATATTATAATTCAAA